TAGGACTGGATAAGTCTGACTTCTTCCTACTCCATTCAAGCATGTACTAGGTATAAGCAAATTGATATTGGATTAGCATTTGTTGGATATGTGTAAAATTATGTGTTGACATATCAACTGTCTTTACATGCTTGAAAGAATAAATCAAATCAAATCAAATCTGTTTCCTTCATCCTAACCAATATTCAGTGGAGGTATCAACTTAATCCTCTCTGGCTCTGATCAGAAGGGTGTGTAGATTGTCACAGGCATGTTATGACAGGTGTAGTGAAGACTGTTGAAGCATAGCACTTATCTGTTCTTCACTTTGTATAAAAATACTCAGCCACTATGGAATGTGGATGTGGATTTCAAATACAGTAGAATTTAATCAGATGCACATGGCAGAGGAGCATGTAAGCCTCACCAAGAAACCCCGCCAGTCATCACTAACTAATCTGACAATAAAGTAATACACAAAACCATCTAAAATACAGAATATTTACTATTAATATTTAGCATTTGCAACAATATTTGATGCTTTATAAAGACGGAAGGTCATTACATGTAGATGTAGCCCAAGAATGACTTCTGATTATCAGACTCGGGCTGGAGCGTGGTGACAGTGCCTGGGCAGCGCTGAAAGTGATCACTGGCCTCCTGGAACAGCATGGCCAGGGAGGGCAGTGCAGGGAGGATCCAGAGCCCTTCAGTTACCACAACACCTTTCTCCTGGTGGACCGAAATGAGGCGTGGGTGTTGGAAACTGCTGGGAGGCTGTGGGTGGCACAGAAGGTCACAGGTAAGGATTATAACCGTATGGCTCTCTGGGTGCTGAGATGTTTGAGTTCATGGATAATACATAATACTGAAGCTTGATTTATGGTTCTGTGTTTAATCCACATAGAGCTTACACCGCAGGCCATGTAAGTGGTAAGTGTTCTTGGTAGGTCGTGTAAGTGGGGTGGCCAACGGTGGCACTGGCCGCCCACAGAATCTGATTGGCCACCCCTGGTGCCATCCCTGCCAGAGTCAAAATGTGACACTTGTCAGTATTAATAAAAATTAAAAAAAAAAGAAAAGCAATGACAAATTGTGGCCTTAAATACAACCATTTTTCTGGTACTTTATAATTGATTTTGGTCAGTTTCAGTTTATATCATTTTATTATCATTATAATTTCTCTAGTTGTGTTGTTGTGGAGTCAATGCTAAATAGGTTAACTAAAGAAAGTACTCCGTGTCTCATTTTTACATAAATTTGACAAGTTAATACTTAATAATGTATGGTTTATTATTACATAGAACTAGGGGTTTAATTTATTCTTCATATGTCCCACCCCTCTCTGAGTCTGTGCCCCAGCCTGGCCACCCTGTCTAAAATTTTCTAGATCTGGCCTCGCTAGTTTTGCAGGTATTGCTCATAAAACATTGTATTGCGCAGATAAAAACATGTTAGTGGTCAGCGGATCACCAGTGTCAGTAGGCTGCATCCTCCGGGGACCTCGAATGTTTGTACAAAATTTTATGGTAAACCATCCGGTAATTCTTGAGACATCAGTCCAGACCACAGTTATAGTGCACTCACGCTGATACCGCCTGTCGTAACTAAAGTCATGCTGCTAAGATGGCTACATTAAGTGTTGGGCTGCTTAATCAGTCTTGAACAGTAAATCAACACTAAACCACGCAAGAAGATTTGAAATCCACGAAATACTTACATGACTCATACTGTATTTGCTCTTTAATGTGGGAACCTAAGTAACAGAGTAAATAAAGCACATTTAGATCTCAGTGTTCATTCTTCAGCATAAGACCGCAGCTTTTATAGATGTTCATAGAGTTCAGCATTCTCATTCATCAAGGTTGGATCACTGTCATGTGGAGATAAACCTTACAAGCTTCTCTGCTCAGTGTGTATGCAAAAACAGCACAAATATGCATGCATGCACCATGCTTCTGTCTAAAGGGTAGGACATTTCAAACATGCTTCACTCACAAGAAGGAGACTTGTATCAGCTTTTAGAAGCCAAATGAAACATTCTGACAACCAACACACTGCTCTCTCCAGATGGTGTGAAGAACATTTCCAACCAGCTGACCATTAGCACTGAGATCTCTGCAGAGCACTCGGAGCTGCGGAGTGCGGCCCAGGCTCAGGGCTGGTGGGATGGTGAAGGAGAGTTCAACTTCTCTCAGGTGTTCTACCCAGAAAGGCCACCTGCCAGGATGGAGCTGGCCAAACAGCGCTATAAGGGAGGCACAGAGCTACTCCAGGAACATGACGGTGAGAGTTCACCACTCATTTGGGCCTTCTGGCATTTTTCTTTTAACAGTCTGTTATGGTGAAAGGTCAGGCCAACAGAGAGGCCTTCACAACCCAGAAGCAGTTTGAAATTTTTGCATTTTTCAGTAAATTTGCAATAAGTCATCCACCCTATGTCTCCGCTGTTCCTGGTGTCAGGCTCAGTCACAGCAGAGGTGATGATGTCCATTCTGAGGGACAAGCTCAGTGGAATCTGCATGGACTCTGGAGGTTTCTGCACCACAGGCAGCATGGTGTCCATTCTTCCCAGAGACAACAGTCTGCCCTGCATTCACTTCTTCACTGCCACCCCAGACCCCTCCAGGTTTGTCACTGATTTAGCTAAGACTCCCTGTTCTGTTAAACAATATAGCCAACTGCTGTAAACACAATTATTTACATAAAAGCTTTTAAATTTGCTGTTGTAAATTAAGTTGGCATTGATTCAAACTATACATTTTGTGTATGTGCTATTCTGTGTGTTTGAATACTTTTAGGAATAAGAGGAAAAAATGTAAGAAAAGAATAAAATAAGGCCAAAGTTTTATTTTACAGGTCTGTACATCACTGATCAAATAATTTCCTAGAAAGTTTCTTGGAAATAACCATGTAACAGAAGCACTTTGTTAGGAAACTTAAACACAGTCCTGTTGTTCTGAAACATCTAGTGGAAGTTTCCAATCTGCAGCAGCAGGTTCCTCTCCTTGATGTTCAGACTTTGGTTCATATATCTCTGTACTGTCTTGCAGTTTCAGCTACAGCCATTACGCAAAGTAAAGAGTGACAAAGACCGCAATATTCATTAGGTCCTCTTCTGATTCATCCAGCTGTATGGGATGTTCTGTCTGGGAAGAAATGCAGTGAAAATGCTGTTTTATCTTTATAGCATCAGAAACAAAGCTGTTAGCATAAGTAGTAACAGCTACTTTGAAAAGACAAAGTAAAAAAACCTGAAAAAAAATGGCTTACACTAATTGATCAGTTAAAGGCAAGATGGATGTCACCCAATTTTACAGAATGCTAAAAGTAATATTTGTTTACAACAGATTAAATAAAAAGCTGTTAATATCAGTTAGCTTTCTTTCCCTCCTCATCTCTGCTTTTCCTACATTCTTTCTGTACTTTGGGTCAGTGTGAATTTCTGAGTCTGTATTTCTTTTTTCCCTGTTCCTTTCCCTGGTAACCCACCCCACTTGTACCCTGGTAGGTCTATATTCAAGCCTTTTATCTTCTCGAACTGTTCTACTCCAGTGCTGAGGGTGGTCTCTCCAGAGTTTGGCCCAGATGACCCTGTCAGGAGGCAGCCTCGCTTTCAGAGCCAGGTGGACCGCAGACATGACCTGTACAAGGCTCATGAGGTGGCGCTTCACACCATGGAGACCAACCCGGTGGGCAGTGATGGACAACCTAGGTCAATGATTGTTCTACACAGATCCTGGGAGAACTGGAAATTCACATTCATTTCATATATGTCTCATTTTTTTTCTGATAAATTACAGGACAGTACAGAATTGACACTCACCGCAGAGCACAGCAGCACAGGACCTCACAGTTAGTTCAGGCGAGACCCACGGCATGAGCGCAGACATAAACACACTACAAGTACACATCTAAAGCCACCTAAAGCCAGGGTTCCAGTCATGACTCCACTGCAACCAAAGCCAAGTGTGACAGTGCTGGGAGGTGTCAGTGCTTCAAAATAAAGTGACATTTGCCATTGGTATGCTAACAATCCTGTTTGAGATGACGCTGTGAAGCTGAACTGACAGAGGAAGGCTGCTATTTTCACTGTGACTCAAAAAACTCAAACATCTAGTTTAGGGACTCATTAGTTGCATTCCAAATACAGATGTCATACTAATAAACCTGCACTAATCCTTTTGTGGGGGAGTGTCTCTCTCTTTCATCTTTTCTCTATCTCAGGGCAAGGGTGAAGCTGTTCATCCACCATGATGAACTTGGTAGCCAAAGATTTACACATGTATATATCCAGCAACTATGGAGCAACATAGTTCTTTTGACATTATTGTTATGTTTGTGTGTATCTGACTCCATCACTTTTAGCTCTATTTTGTCACTCTACTGTCTTCTGAGGAAAATATCTGGCTCTAGCTCCTAAATGCTCCATTATATTCGCTGACTTTGTAAAATCAGTAGATATTTCATGTTGTATCATATGTATAATGGGACAAAGCTATTGGCTGCTGCTTTGGTGAGCAGCTAGACTATGTAAAAATCTAGATTATTTTGTGTAATAGCAGATGTGTAACTGCCTGTGTTTGCTACTACAGAGGTCTGGTCAAATTGGACTTCTCAGAAGGCCATGAGTAGGATTTGGATTCTTTTAAATTCACATTATATTACTTACATGGGTTTAAACAAATAACATGCAGGTACCTGACTCAGGTGTTAATGTTCTTTTGGCATCTCTCCTTGTCATTGTCTCTCTGTCACAGGGCAAGGGTGACGCTGTCTATAAGATTCTGAGGGACCTGGAGTCGCAGTGTCTCAGTGAGATTTCAGCCATGCTGAGTGGTGAGATTCCAGGAGACGAACTGGGGGACTTGTTTTTTGATTGCGTGGACACAGAGATTAAGTTCTACCAGTGAGGAGGTAGGAGGCTGCAAGAGAAGAATTTGGTGTTGTATTATGTGCATGAATGCTAAGTGTGTGAATGTTAAGTTTTCTGTTCTGGAAAATATGCCACATTTTCATCCTTCAGTTCTAGCAGAGAAATATTCCAGTGTGGAAGAGTAGTTGTGACTGGAAAAGCCAAATAAGCACCTGTCTTCTGTTGTAGCGCCCTCAGGTGGAAACCCCTGAAGCTCACAGGATAGTGGCAGAAGGCCCAGGGACTGTTAAAAACTCAGTACTCCTCCTGTGACTGGCCTCCCTCACCCAGCACACATCCCTGACACTATTCCATCTCTAACACAGACTAAATGTCTAAACTGTTTGTGTGATTGGAGCACATTTAACGACTGCTCTGACTGTACCACATTAGTGACTGTAATGATGTAGACTATACAGGTGCCCATGTAGAGCTGTGTGATGCTGCACAAATACTGCGAGTATGGCACTGGTTTAACTTTTTGATTTTTTTTGCAAATGAAAAGGGTTTTCGTGTGTTTGAGTGGTACCTGTAGGTAAGAATCTAATCAAGAATGTCTCCTGACTGTCCTGAGTGTGTTGAGAGCTTTCTAGCCACACTGCTGTTGTGGCTGTAAGTATTGGTAATGTTGTATGTCCAAATTAAATTTATATACCAGTCTTTTTCTCTCTGTCTTCCAAAGTGTGTGAATGTGCATTGGATAAAGTGAGCTTTGACAAAACCGTGAAGTTAGCCATCTCAGTGAGAGCTGTGTGCCAGTAAAGGTAAACACAGCACCGTTAGTCATCTCTAACTGTTTCTGTGGTGATTCATGTTAGATATCATCATATTTGAATAGCCTGCACAACAGGGCTGTTATGACTAACATGGGTTTATGTTGATTTTGTCAGATTTTGTAATAATGAAAATGGTCACTACTACATCCTTGAAATTAAATGCATAATAACTGGCTAAACATTATTTGAGTGATCAACACCATAATATTGTGAAAAATGAATCCAGCCTCTGGTCAGAATGTGATACTTATTGTATGTTGACTGCTGGTTAGTTGAGAGAAAATGTACCCTGAAACAGAACAGAGCACACAATTTTGTAATGGTAGGAAAGGAACAGTGTTGCTAATGACTTAAATGATGCTTATGTTTTGTTCAAATGTCCCAGTAAGCAACGACAACATGGCAGTGAGCCAGCATGCCAATACTCATTATAATTTACTATTTATGAGGTTATATGTTAATTAAAAACAAAAAAACGCCTAAACTTGTTTGTAGTCACAGTTTAAAATGCCTTTCACAAACCCAAAAACAGTGAAAAGGTGTAATGATAATGTCAAGAAAAATATTGTAGCTGTCCTAATGGTACTAATAGGACAATATAAGAGCAGCATTAGTGCATGGGAACATTTGTTTCTGATACCAGAAACTTTGAACAGCAGGCCCCACACAAAGCATCTGCCAACGCACAGAATCACTATTTCAGTTTGTGTTTTTAATATGACATGGCAGTTTAATAAAGCAACATAAGCCAAACAGCGATGATGGCGCTATAGATAGATAGATAGTTAGTTTATTATTGGTAAGATGGAATCAGATGAATGTGAGCATTTTAAGGAAACGGTTGAGCATGTTTTATTTGAGTACAGCATTTTGAATTAACTGAGTTAATGCAAAGGACATAAGATTATAAAGCTATGCTGTAACGCAGACCGGTAGGTGGTGGTATGCAGTTTTCACATTGGCTTGTCACCAAAATTGAGGACGAAGAAGAAGCAGCGCCCAAAGACCCCGGTGTAATGAAATGTGCCGCCCTAAAGTGGAAGGAAAAAAAACAACCATCGTCTCAAATATTAGGTAGTTGCTTGACTATATGTTTTTGGTAGAACTTTAACAAACTGCCAAGCTACTCTCGGCATTTCTCTCTGGTTCCCCTTTAAAGCTGGTCGTCCAACGAAAAAGGTAATGTAATGCTAGGTTGAGTATTGCTAACTCGCTAGGTTAACAAAAACTGTCCTTTGCACTTGAGCTTTCACTGTAGTGTTAGCTCCTATCCAAGCACCAGGCCGAAAAGGTTAACTTGGCGCAAATAATGGTTTGGCTGTAAATAATCAATAGACAATTGTCGTACCAGTTAAAGCTAACGTTAGATACTTTCTTGTTTGCAATCGACTTGTTAGCATTAGCTAACGCTAGGTCAAAGGATGCTGAAGCTATAACGGAACTTTCCATAAAAACTAGGGGCTGCCTGGGCCACGGTACGCATTTCACAGTAGTTTAATACGGTATTGCAAGTGTTTACTGTATCTGCTCAGATCAAGTCAGGTCAACGTATTGGAAATTGCGCATGCGAACTGTGAGGTGGACAGAGACCGTTTATACTCGTATTTGATTCAGTACTCCTCCTAAACGATGGGAGAAAAAAAAACTATACCGTTGGAACAGCAATAGAAGTCTTTTACAGGAAATATGCCGGCTAGCTAGCAGATATTAAATCTACAGAGCAGCTAAATGAAGCAGAATAAATAATTGTGGTAGACAGCGTGCTGTAACTAGCTAGCTTTCTACTTAGACAGCACAC